GTTCTGCTGTGCATGGGGTCGCTATGAGTCGGTTCTGACTCGATGGCACCTGACAACAACAACATTGAAAGATTAGGTATAAAAATACTTCTAAATAAGTGTGGTGAGACCTGGGGTCTCCTGAGCCCATGGACAAGGACATAGCCATGGAGAGCTAGAGCTGAGAGCAAAGTGTTTGCTAATATGAAGTGAGGGGAGATGCACAAGAACATTCAAACTTGTAGATAGTACCCATTCGACCTAGCTTTGATGGCTTGATGATCAGAAGTCGACTAGAGTAAGATAAAGAAATTTGATAAAGGAAACAAGTGTAAATTGCTACAATTTGATGAACTTGACCTATAATTATGAATATAGTAGCTCAAGATACCAACTGTGAGGGAAGGAGTCTTCACATACAAAATCAATCCTATACCCTCTGTATACAAGGTTGATAGGGATCAGCAACTTAGATATTGGCTACCTAAAATGGAGGGTGGAGAGGGTGAAGAGGGTTATAAAGACACATTGTGACTGGCTTATACGTTTTCAAGAGGGAGTTCAGTTTCAGAGTGTATGGGGGAAGGTAGAATCCCCACTGAATTGTTTTCATCTTGTCTAGATGGGTCTGGTGAAAGGAGATTGGGATAAGGTTTTTATGATTCAATAGTGAGTAATTGTTACTATGACTAACTGCGACTGTCACACCTGTAAAGGTAGAAATTTTGTAACAAAAAGTGGGGGGTAGTTAATCTTACAATCCAGGAACAGAGGACCCTAGGAGCATCAAAGGAGAAGAGAATGAACAGAATGTGGGACCCTACCCAGAGAAGCAGTGACACTAGAGATGGAGGCAGAGATGAGGACATGGAGAGAGGGAGCAGTTTCTAGACTCATGGAAAGAGAAAGGCTGTGTGCTGGCGGTCAGGTGACAGGTTTGCAGAATGTGCCCTTTGGTTGTTTAAATGATTATATATTCCAGAGTGCTTTAGTGTACATCCCCCCGACCCCAAAACAAACAAACAAAACAGGGAATAGAAGCAAATACTGTTGAATGTTGATGTGTGGAGGAGATTGTAATTATAGCAAAGAAACGATGAGTGTAAAATCCATGTTTTCCCATGTAAACAATCTTTTAATTCACAATAAAAACTTGGAAAAAAAAAAAAAAAAGAATCTTTGGAGCCTCAATGGTGGAAACCCCATTTAGACCTCCTTAATAGTAAATTCCTGTGTTGCTAAAGTTGAAGGTATAAAAACTTGGGTTCACCTTTCACGGCTCAAGAAAGACAGAGAACCACCATTGCGGTGGAGCTGCAAACCTGCTGGGGACCTGCGGATCACTCTCCAGTGACCTTATGGCCCAAAGTGGACAATGCCAGAGGAGTAGACTGCTAGCCCAAGTTCATGGAGTAGCTGGCTGAAATTTTTGGACTTTCTTTCTTTCTTAATGGCATGCTGTTGTTGTTAAGTCACGTTGAGTTGATTCTGACCCATAGCGACCCTGTATAGGGTTTCCAAGGAGCAGCTGGTGAGCTTGAACTGCCAACCTTGCAGTTCAAATGCCTTTGCAGTCTGACACATTAACCCACAGTGCCACACCAGGACTCTTAATGGGATACTTAGTTGCTATTCTACATGCTGAGAGTACCATCCCAGATTTGGACTCACAGTGACCCTGAATAGAGTTTTTAAGGAGTGGCTGGTGCGTTTGAACTGCCGATCTTAAGGTTAGTAGTCCAGTGCTTATCCTAGAGTGCCACAGTAGGACTCCAGTTGTATTGATAGCAGTGATCACATACACCATGAACAACAACATTTAAACTAACTTTCTTCCAGGAGGTGTTTTCTAAAAGAGACTGTAAATATAGACTATCTTAGGGTAGAACACTGTTTATTTAGCACATTTCCAAGAAAAAGCATTAGACAGGTTTTCCTAGAGAGCTGTTTGTCACAATATCTTACTGGCTGTATTTTCTTTCTACTTCCAAAAAGAAAAAAAATCAAATGGCTTCCACTAACCTTAAACTCTGTATCAAAGTATGTCCTCATGATAAAATATTTTAAATTAATGTGACTGGCTTTTCCATTGAAGGACTATTTCTGCCAATCTAATTCAATGGAAGGAATGGGAACTAGAAACTTGTCATCCTCAGAAGTAAATCACATTATTGTTTTAGATGTTGTGGGTTAAATAGTACAGAAATCAAGATTAATAGAAGAAAAAACTACTCCAATATAAATGACATATATGTGATGAGATTATCCAGCCCCTTTTCTGATCGATTTACCTGAACTGATGAATAAAAAGAGTTTTCCTCGGACTAATTCCAGGGTGATATGACCCCCGTTTCTTCCCTCTCTGTGGAATAGAATCCCATCACTCTGCATTGTTTTAAATTTCAGAGACATTACATCTTTCACTGGGCCCATGGTGCTCTTAGAAATTCTGTAGACCAGGGAATTATTTTCATCAAAATCAATCACTTCCGATCCTAAAGCAAAGATAACAAAAGTTATTCTAAGTATGATCATACTTTTCACTGATGCATTGAAATGTATGAGGCACATCAGCACACACATGCATGTACAGACACATACATGCATGTATTCACACATGCATACACAGCCACTCAAAAACATGCACACACATTCATGTAAATACTACATTCCTGTTCTTATAATCAGATATTACAGCATTCCTTCCAGCAGATTTTGATGTACCCAAATTCTATCTTTAGCCTTTCTTAACAATACCTAGTTCCATGGTTAGGATTAAAGAAATCATTTTATTCATAGATTCCCCACACATCAATCAGTTTGCCAGACTGTGGTGACATGCATGTGACAATGCTTCTGGAAGCTCTGCCAAAAGTGTTTCACATATCAGCAGGGTAAACCATGTGGACAGGTGTCAGTAGAACTTCAAGATTAAAACCAGACTAGTGTTGTTAGGTGCAATTGAAACGGTTCTGGCTCACAGCTACACTAGACACAACAGAACAAAACACTGCCTGGTCCTGTACCAGCCTCACAATTGTGGTGATGTTTGAGCCCATTGTTGTTGCCACTGAATCAGCCCATCTCTTTGGGGGTCTTCCTCTCTTTCGCTGACCCTCTGCTTTACCAAGAATGATGTCCTTTCCCAGGAACTGGTCCTTCCTGACAACAAGTCCAAAGTATGAGAGATGAAGTCTCCCCACTCCCGTTTCTAAGGACACTCAGACTGTATTGTACTTCTTCCCAGACAGATTTATTCATTCTTCTGGCAGTCCACGGTACTTTCAAAATTCTTTGCCCACACCATAATTCAATTGTATCACTTCTTATGTGGTCTTCCTTATTTACTGTTCAATTTTCACACGCATAGAAGCAAATTGAAAATACCATGACTTGGATAAGGCGCACCTTAGTTCTCAGACTGACATTACTCTAGAAAAAAGATTTAAAGAAATCTTTTGCAGCAGATTTGCCTAATGCAATATGTCATTTGATTTCTTGACTACTGTTTTCATGAGTATTACTTGTGGATCCAAGCAAAATGAATGAAGTCTTTGATAGCTTCATTTTTTTTTCTATGCTCATCATGATGTTATTTATAGGTCCAGTGGCAAGGATTTTCCTTTTCTTTACATTAAGGTACAATACATAACAATTCATCAATACGTATTGC